GTGGTCCAGATTTGCCAAAGAACTTCTTCACATTAGATCATTGTCATAGAGCATGCTGTTTGTGCGCCATTTCCTTGGACCAGGGGAGTGGGATATATATATATATATAGCTATGAAACCAGAAGGTTGGAGTTTATATCACATGCTCAAAGTTCGAGTCCACAAAGGACTTCTCCACCAAATTTCAGTGTTGAGGCCAGAAGTGGATGCGGGATTCACTCAGCCAGCGGCAAAAGCTGCTGCGTCAAAGCCGTGTGGGGCTGCGCCTCTTCATGCACCTGCTGGTGTAACGAGGAGGCGTACGGGCGTATGAGGAGCGTGTTGGGCCATCAGCCTGCAGAGCCTATTCATATGCTGGGCTACTGTAGCAGACTTTGCCTTCAAAAACTGCCACGATGGTGCGACGGACTGCAATGCCTAGTGTGGGTCGCCTGTGATTTTGTACCGCATGATGAGAGTGCAGAGTTAATGGGGTCAATGAATTTATGTCCTCCAGAGAGATCTAGTAATGTAGAGGTTTGGGGATCCAGAGGACTCCACAGGTCTAGAGGTCTTGAGATCCAGAGATCTCTTTGGACAGGACTTGAGCTAAGGGGCGGGGCAACAGAGAGCTTATATAATTTGACAGATTTCACACAGGGTCCAGTCACTCGTGCATGACACGCACAAATCGAGATGTACCACGACAATGTATAGGCTCAATCACACAGCGAAAAGGTCTTTTGTGCTTCGCATGGTAGCGGAGCTCTGGCCGTAAGAATCGGAGCTCCCTACCCACGTTTTGCACCACGACGAGCCATTCCGGGGCGGAGCCTCGTCTGTACACGCGGAATTTCCCTCGAATGTACACGCGGAGAATGAAACTGGGATGTGCACGCGGCTTCCTCGGCTGTACACGCGGCTTACACGGCTCCAAAAATGAATGAATGAATGAATGAATGGAACCCGACCAGATTGTTTCACAATCTGAACCTTGTTGTCTCATTTTACGTCCATCGCTTTAGATGCGCTGTTTGGGCTGTCAGATCCGTGGACGGGCACAGCGCGCAGACATGCGAGCTTTCATGCGGAACATGTGTCGTTATGATTTCGACAGGAAGTCACGTTGTTAAGTACCTTCACCTTAACGCGTCAGAAGATGAAACGCCCGTCGGCTGCCATGAAAAACGATGTTGGGAGCTGTCACGACATGCGCGCATGCAACTTTAGCTGACAAAACGATGTGAAATCTTTAGTTGACATGAAAGAATGAAGAACGCAGAGCGTGTGTGTGACGTGAACCTGTGGAAGCAATGAGCAAAAAGAGATCATCATGTAGATGAATGTCCAGAGGGACGTTATTAACACATCATCAATCAAACGAAGCAATGAGCAAAAAGAGATCATCATGACTCAATTTGTGTGTGTGCAAATGAGGCGAATCATGTGTGCGCATTTGAGTTTGGGGCAACATGGGCTGTTTAAAGAGGAATGTAATCAATGTGTGCGCAGATGAGGTGAATCATGTGTGCGCATTTGAGTTAAATATATAAAAAAGTCTGTGTGCGGATTTGAGGGGAATTATGTGTGCGCAAATGAGGCGCCATCCCCATTCCGGCGAAGATCCAGGGCAATCGGTGCCGGCTTGGTTGAGCTGCTGTTGTTGGCGTGCATCGCCAGTGGAGCTGGAGATCGCCTCTGTCAAGAGGTTGCTTTCTACAGGCCGTGGGCTGTGACAGCTCAGCAGACCAAGCTCAAGGTCAGGAAGATCCATACGGTGATCGTCGAGGGTGACAACTACGTGGGTAGGCTGCACTGGATCAGGAGTGAAAGAACTACCAGAGCCTCCCTGATCCTACAAGAACGGCAAGGTAAGAAGAAGAAAGGAAAGCCGAAACAGCTGGTTGTGATCGTCCCAGCTGGGTGGAAGTTCATTGAAGGAGTAGAGACAGTAGAGAAACTACGAGACGAGGCATCGGAGGAGCAGATTTGTGAACTGATAGCCAATTGGGACTACGTCACCGTGTTCCACAAGAGTTGCCTGCTGTTCACTGAGGACATTGAGGACCCCGACCTGACGACCTACACCTTTCGCCCCTTGATCAAGGATCTCTGGGCCATGGCAGATGAAAGTTTGAAGTTGATCTCCGAAACATTGGAGCGTCTGGCCTTGACCCAATCTTCCTCATCATGGTCCAGGCACATGAAGACACCAGACATCTTCAAGCCCGACACAAGGGACAATGAGATCAAAAATGGAGCGACTGGAAGTTCAGTTTTGTGAACTATATCAAAGGAATCGATTCTAGAATGGCCGCCAGCATGGACCTTGTGGAGGAGAACCTGAATGGAGACTTCAGGCTGAGCGACATGACCGAGGAGGATGATGGCAGTGCGGCTTTATGGGGTGTTGACATCCTATCTGCGCAACCGCCCGCTCAAGCTGGTGAAGCACATGAGGGATGAGAATGGCTTTGAAGCCTGGCAGTGTCTGCTCAAAGAAATGCAACCAGCCAAACGAGCACGATCTCTTGCACTCCTAACACAACTATCGAGGGTGCAATTCGCTGAGGGACGAACTTTGTCAGAGCAGCTGCCACAGGAGTACGAGTCGAGCGCGTTTCTCACCAGAAGTACCCTGATGATGCCAA